AATAACTGATAATTAAAATAATAATGTGGTAGTTTTTTGAATTTTAAATGATTAATTTTTACCATATATCATTCATCCGTAATTTGTTAACGAGACGGAAAAACCACATAAAACAAAAAGATAAAAAAACCTTTGTCAAATCAAGAATTTGGCAAAGAAAATAAAGATAAAATTATACATGATAAAAATTAAATGATCAAAACAAAACAAATAAGAAAACTTTTACTAAAAAAAAAACTTATAAAAAATAAGTCTAAAAAAATTCATTATGCATAAGGCAGACAACAAAAGTAAAACATTATAGAATTTTAATGATCAAAATAAAAAAATTTAATAAAATAACAATCAAAACAGAAAATATTTTTTAATAAAAAAACTTAAAATAGTTAAACTATATTTAATTTTAGTGTAGAATGAATAATTATTAAATATAATAAAAATTTAATGATCAAAATCAATGAAAGATCACAAAACAAAAATCAAAATATAACAAAAAGTTTTACTAAAAGTAAAAAATAGTTTCTTGCATAGAAAAAATAAATATAATAAAAATCTAATGATCAAAATAAAAACCAATAAAAAAATAGGGACTAAAAAAATTCTACTAAATTTAATGACGAAAATAAAGAAAAAAATCACAAAACAAGAATTATAATAGAAAAAAAAGTTTCACTAAAAGCCAAAAATAAAAATAAAAAAAGCTTAGGATAGTAAATTTTATTTATTTTTAGTATAGTAAGGATAAAAATCAAACATGAGAAAACTTAATGATCAAGATAAAAACATATCACAAAATAGTAATAAAAAAAGAACATAAATTTTTGTTAAAAGTCAAGAAAAAATATTTATTATAGGGATAAAAATCAAATATAATAAAATTTTAATATTTATTATAGAGATAAAATTAAATATAATAAAACTTTAATGATCAAAATAAAAAAAATTAGAAAAAGGGGATCAAAATAAAAAGCAATTTCCTTAAAAGCTAGCAATCCAAACGGGAAAAAAAAAAAAAAAAAGAGAGAAAAAAGTTGTAAAAGCTTGAAAGCCAGCCACCGAGAGAAAAAAAAAAAAAACAGTAAATGAAAAGTACAGTTCTACGATGATTTTTTATTTTCTTTTAGTTTTATTGTAATAATATATGATTCGACTCTCTTACGATAACTAAAAAATTTTCAGTTCTTTTCATGCATTAACTCTTGATGCAATTTCTAATTAATTTTCAGTTTTCCTCTTTTCTAGACACATTTGTTGATTTAGTTTTTTAGAAATAATGTTTTAATTATATATACGACCTAGCCCACAACAAGTTGAAACATGAGAAATTATTTAATTCGTTTTACAAAATTAGAGAGATTAAATTATAATTTACTCTTAATTTGCAGGAGAGGCTGCAATGGTTTGCCGAGGAAAATGCGAAGACCATCCTGACTGTCGGGCCTTTTGCATTACGCTTGGTTATAAAGGAGGGCAATGCGTTCCACCACTTGGCCAATACTGTTGCTGCCAGCAATGATGGAATTTTCTTTTTGTCAAAATAAAAGAGAATCTGTAATAAACCATGAAGGAATAAAATCATCGAATCATTTCCTATTTGCTCGTCTTGTCACATTTTTGGTTTCGTTTGTTTTAGAGGGGAGGGAGTGGTTCCATACTGGGCAAACCATCAATTTGTACGTTCTTATGCATAATGAGCACTTATATATATATTTCAACATATATACACCCTTTAATTTAAAAATCATAAATTTGATTTTGAAAAATAACAAAAAAAAAATCTAAAATATAAATTCAAGATCCTCAAATGAGAATCTAAGTGACTGTCACATGCAGTAAAATATTTGTTAAAAAAACTTTAAAATAAAAATACTATTACAAAAACTTAAAAAACGAAAAAAAAATTTCAAATTAATTTTGAATAATAAAACAGATATGAAAAAAAAAAACAAAGGAAATAACTTAAAAGATCGATGATGCCATTTCTCAATCATATTCTTTTATAAAGTTTAATTAAAAAAATCAATCGAAACCTTTTAGTTTGTTCATATTCTAGTATCTTTAATATATTGTTTTGTTAAAATTAAAGTTTTTTTTTTTTGGTAATTATGTATGATAATTTCAATAAAAATTGACAAAAATACTATTAAAATTATTTTTTAAAAAAGAAATAAATATTTGTTGCTGCCGGGGTTTGACCTTAAGTAAGTTTGATTATCCAAAAAAAACGTGCCCTTTGAACTTATTTCGCTTGTCCAAAACAATTTTTTCTTTACTTAATTAACAATAAATCAAAGGACAAAAATTTTCTGGGCAGCATGAAACTCCCATTCAGCTTATAGAGATGGCATCATTTCAAGCAAACCACGTTTAATTCAGAATTAATTTACTTTTTGTTTCTTTTTTGTAATGATCATAGTGGTGGTAGAAATAGTTAATGAACGATAAATAAACAAAATATATTATTATTTTGAAAAAAAAATTCATTCTCATTTCTTGTTTTTATTCTCATATTTTAGAGATGTGAATGAAGTTATGTGTATCTTTTATTTTCATTTCTACTCTTCATTCATATTTTACTTCATTATTTTTAATCAAACAACTATTATTAGGTAATAAAACTTTTAGATAAACGGATGCTTAACAACATTATGATAAAATAGAATATTATAATAACTTATAAAACCACCTTTTTTTTCCCTCTCATCTTCACGTCGAATCATCGCTTCTCTTTTCCCTTCTTCTTTAGATCTCTTAGCTCATGCATGCATGATCGTTAGCAATTACATTTCCTTCCCTCTCAAAAGAAATTTGCTAAGTAATATTATAATAAATTCCACATCTCAAGGTTAAACGTTATTCAGCTTTCCAATAGTAATATATACAGCTACATTTTCATTTTTGAAAAAAAAAGATATATACAGCTTCCCAATTGGCTCGTATTGAATTTATGGGTCGATATATCTACTTAGATTCTTATTTAATGTATTAATTTTTGCGCTAAGTGATTTTGTAAAGAGTATCTGGATGTTGAATTTGATTTTAATGTGTATATATATATATACACATCAATTAAGGCTATATAAGGTGAATTATATTTATCACCATTGCAGTGAATTTTAGAGCTGAAGGAAATCGTGCATACCGGACATCTTAAGCTATTGACAATTGCAATAATGGTTATGGCTGTCATCTTCTTAATTACTAGCTAGGTAAATAAAAACCGAAACCTTATTATTCTTTTGCCTAGCTAGTATGTACATGAGATTTGATACGGGTTTCTTGGTCTGACAGCTCAAGATAGTTTTGGAACATCTTGTTCTTGGTAATTATTAGGTAGATCAAGTTTGTATTTGGTAATGCAATTGAAAGTGATTTTTTATTTATTAAAAAACATAACGAATTTATGGTTTTTTTAAGTGGTTTTCGATAGCTTTGATATCTCATTATCAAATTTATTGAAAAACACCTAAAAGATATTAAATTAGTGTATTTTCAACCTAAATATATTTTGAAAAACATTTAAATCGTAATACCAAATGGTGTATTAGTCAATCTTATCACTCGCAATTAGGTCATAAATAAACAACATATAGATAACATGTTTTCGTTCTTATCTGATGATGTATGCATTATAGGAGATTTTGTAAAATAGCATTCGATATGGAGTACAAGTCGCTAAAGATAGATACAAAACAGAAATCTTATGTATTCAATTTGCACAGATAGAGATAAAATCCAATTTTGTTTCTATTTTCGAGATAAAAAATTGATGAAATTCATGTGCCTCTTGTATGAGGGGAGACGAGAGAGATAGAGATGGGGATGAAAACACTGCGGATTTTTATTTTCAAATTTGTCTTTATAAACTTTTTAAAACTCCAATCCATACCCTTCATTTGGTGTTTGGGCGTCAGATAACTTGGAATATCCCAAAAATAAAATAATAATAATAATAATAAAATAAAAAAGCAGCTTTGGAAAAAAAAAAAAAAAAAGACTACAAACGACGTGTCATCTATGCTGATGACATGCCATTTCCTTTCCAATATGCAAACCTAGGCCTGCACACTGGTCCAGTGTACCTGGGCTGCCGTGGTCAAAGCCCAAGTTGCCTTCTTCATTTTTTTTTTTTTTTGTAATTTCCCACAATTCTTTTTGTAGAATGCATTAAAATAATTAAATTATTACTAGTTAATGATTTAAAGTGACTATATTATTGAGTAGGGATGTTCTTTTTTCAGGTTATTATAATGACAAATTAACAAAAAAATATTGGGATGGATGAATAATTTTTTCTTTTCGGACAATAATTTTTTTCTTATCGATTGAAAAAATATTACCAAAAAATATATAAAATTTATTCAAACAAAAAAAAAATTAGTATGGATGCCTGATTTTTTTTCTTAAAAAATAATATTTTTCTTTTAAATATGGACAAATATTGCCATATTTTTTTTAAAAAAAATGTCATAATGGATGCATATTTTTATTTATTTCAACCATAAGTTTCTCTATTAAGTGAAAAAATTACTATTAAAATATTTGAAAGATAATCAAATGTGAAAATGAGGCTTAAAATTACATCCAAACACAACATTTACAACACAATTTATTATATGGATAATATATATATATATATTTTCATTTTATTGTGTCTTGTCCTCTACCACCACCACCTAATAGATATATGAAAAAAAAATTTATTTCTTCTCTACTTTATCAAATATAACTTAATCTCCTTTCCAATATTTTGTCTTACATTGTCTAGTATTTATTGTCTCCATCTTCAATATCTTATTTCCGAACAAAATACGGGTTAAATGACGTGGTTGACTAAGTCTATCTAATAATTAATTTTAGTTTTTTTGTATAATGTGGGAAGCGCAAAACCAGGTTAAGGCTCCGATGGTGCATTGATAAATTATGGAACGTGGAGGAAAAGAAGTGCACAAAATAAGATCGATTCTCCCGGAAATTAAACAAAGAATGACCCGGGAAAGATGGATCCCCACAATGGAGGTAACCGACTGAAGGGCAGAGTAATATTCAAGAGATTTGGTTACTTGGGACTTGTGATAAATTTAACCTTGCAGGTTTCCACTTGAGAAAGAGAACACCAATCGCAAACTACCTATCACTTATAGCACAGCAAGAAGATGTCAAACCTGAAAATTACTTCAATGCTTTCCAAATTTCTTACAGCCAGAGGTGCAAGGACAAGCAGTACTGCTAGGAGCTCTCGTGCTTTTGTCACTGCCACTTCTAGAACACTGCAAGTGAGTTGCCCGTAATTTCTTGCATATACACGTGTGTCCGAGCAATTTTGTTTTTGTTTGTTTGTTCAGAGTCATATACATATGTTTGTACCTTAAAAGTGTGCAAGAAAGAAATTGGTTTTCTCATACAAATTTTCTTCAATTCCTTAACTTTTTTGGACTAAGATGCATTGGTGCAACAATGGCATGCTTCACTAAACCCGCAGAGAAGATAACGTGTGTAGTCTCTTCCCAATTCAAATCTTGAAATTCATCTGCTTTTTTCACTGAAAATTACTAACAGGATATATATATATATATATATATATATATATATATATAGGTATTGAACACATAGTTTATTAATTAAAACACATCAGGATCGATCCTTCATTTATATAACTTGTGTATGCAAGATTTGGAGCATATAATCTTTTCTTTTCTTTTCCAAAAAATTTACCTGGTGCAAAACCACAGGCCCAAAAGAATAAAGAGACAGAAGAGGCATGCAAGGGTGTAACAGAGGCAGCAGAATCAGTTAAAGAAGGTGCAAAATCAGTGAAAAATGCTGCTGAAGCTGTAAGAGTAGTACTAATGAACATCATTCTCTTCATATTATAAAGAATATTAATAAATCTGTTATTGTTGTGCGAGCTAATCAGGTGTCAAATATGACGAAGGAGGTGACAAAGAAAGTATCTGAAACTGCAGAAACCATCACAGACAAAGCTGCTTCAATTATCAAGGAAAAAATAGTTGGCAAATAGATTGATACATGCATGTTCATGATCAAGAACATAAAGAGACTGCAATTTTCTTTTCAATTCGTTTCTTACTTTCTTTTAACTTTTTGTAAGTTGCCTTTTTGCAAGTTGCTATATGTTTAAGTTTCTCCGTTTTTTCTTTTTCAATTTAATTTCTCCGGCAATACTAGCGTGGGCATTGTAATGAACTACAAATTTTATAATATCATATATTATGTTATGTCCTAATATCATGTATGAGATTCCATCACTGTATTTTCTGTTGTAAGTGTTTATATGCTTACAGAGCTTTGCACATCATGTTAAGCATACACAAATTTACACAAACGAACATAGCCTAATGATTGTGTATTTGATAGCCTAACAACTTTGTGTGGAAGAAGACTGACTTGGTTCGGCTTAAAAAAAAATGAGTCAAGTGCCTCACGAAAATTTGTAAAAGGCCAAATCCGTGACATGTAACTATCTGTCATCAACATTATATAATTGAAAATACTACAAGAGAACATGGGCAACATTTAGTGGCACCAGGATGCGGCCAATTAAGTGATCATGGCCAACAGAAATTCAATAAAGGGAAGAATTTCATTGCAGATATCTCTATGCCTGGCGTTCATGTCTAATTAAGTGTTAGTTAAGAGCTGTTACTATCTGTAACCAAAACGATATATAAAGCCATGGTAACTTAACCCAAGAGGGTTGATTTTAGCATAAGAAGATCTAGTCGCTTAAAGAAGTAGTTTTGAGTTTAAATCTTTGTGTATATAAAAAAACTCTTTGGATAACTGTACTAGTTTTGTACTCTCAATAGAATAGCGAGAGATTAATCGGAGCTTTTGGACCTAAGAAACCTTGAGGATAAAAAAAAAGACATGGTAAACCAGCAATATTTAGAACATATGATCGACATTTTGGGGCACTATACAAGACGGTCACAGCACTGCTTCAGCATTGCCAAGTCTCTCCACTGTCTGTGAGAAGTCACTCCCTTTAACCTTTTTTGATCTTCTTACTTGCATTTCTTTCCCATCCAACATCTTTTCTTTTTTGAATTCCCCCTTTCTAAGGATCATTTTAAACAATATGTCATTCCAACCCTTAAACACTCGCTTTCTCTCACACTCAACACTTCTTTCCCTTATAAGGGATCTTAGAGGGCTCGAACTCGATACTATTTTTTGGAACCGACTGAAGACAAAAAAATATGAAGAGCCACAACCCAGAATACCAACAAACAAGGTACGAGCCACTTTCCTGATAAGTCAAGCAAGAGTTCAACAACTTAAAAAACATGTCACAACCCTGTGCCCCTCTTTATCACATGTATCAAGTTTCGCAGTTACATGTGGTTATGCTTGATCGTGTATGGTTGACGTAAGAGCAGCAAGTGGAGAAGAGGTGGATAAGGATGAAGAGGAGCAGTTTCGGTTCCAGGCAAATTGGAGAACTCGTTTGAGCCCTTCTTTGCCAACAAATTATTTTGGCAACTGCATGGTGGCTTGTGTGGCAGCGCAAAAAGTTGCAAATTATTGGTAGAATTGAAGATGGTTTTGTAGTAGCAACTAAAAGTGTAGGAGAGGCAATACATAAAAGGCTAAGCAATGAGGAAGGAGTGTTGAATTATGCAAAAATTGGATGTCAGAGTTGGAACCACTGAAAGGGAAGCGGTGTTTTGGGGCTTCCTCTTCTCCAAGATTTAAGGTGTATGATTTGAATTCTGGGTGGGAATGCTGTAAAAGGGTAGAGATGCTTATTATAGTGAACGCATGAGTGGAGAGGGTACGTATACTGAAATTGGCTTGTCATTACCTAAGGACAAAATGGACGTTTTTGCTTCTATTTTTGCCAATGGCCTCAAAGAATGCCAGCGTTAAATATCGGTAATGAATCCCTTTTTCGTAATATTATTATTTGAAAAGACTTTTATATCTCTTACTTTACATGCCCGCATTAAATTTACTCTTTTTTTATGGACAATTTAAATATATAATTTCTTTTTCGTCCTGAAATTTATAAAATATAGAAAAAAATAGATTAAATTAAATGCCTCAATCAAAGATATATATATATATATATATATATATTCAAACATAATATGAATTAAAAAATAAATAAAATAGTTCAATGTACGACTAGTCGTGGACAGGTGAAAAATGATACTGCAATCAAGACAAACCAAGAGGGAAAAGGGCAAAAGTTCATCCCCAATATTTAGGGGCTCAAATGGCTTCCATTTTACGGACCGAATGGCCTAAGAAAATATGTGATGGGCTTAAACCCGCTAATGGAAAGGGCTTGTAACCCATCTAGTTGAATCCGTCACCAGTATTAAAGTCCAACAACAAGAGTTAACGCAGAGCTCCAACCAGGTCAGACCAATCCCACAAAAACCTCTAAAATCGTTTACTGGGCGTTTTCTTTTTCTTTGAGAACCAGAGACCTAGGAAAAAACTCCAGTACACAGTACAAACCGATTAGCGTAACATTCATTTAAAACTAGTGTACGAAGGATCATTAGACCTCCAATGACAGGTTGGTATAGTATTAAGTGAGTTCAGAAGAAGCGCTCAAGCATTTTTGAGAGTTTGAATTGTATTTACTTCAATTTATAATTAGATGATATATTTACATATGATTTTAGTTTTTTTTTTTTTTTTTAAATTAAGTTTCAACCTCAATATAAATATGGTGGAAATCTTTACGGATAAAAGAACATTGTGATAAAGACTCAATATTTCTTACCGAAAAATGTGAGATTATCTAATTACATTTCTATTTTTTCTTGCCCGAAAAAAACAAAAAAACAAAATGAGAGCTCGTACCACTGGACTACAAAGCTGCTGATAGCTACATGAACGTCCAATTGATCATATGATTAAGGAATCAATTTGCACTGATCACTAGCTTGTTTTTAAAATGGCAATGGTGTGGAGTCTCTGGAAACGCGTCCTAGGCTGCCATTTCCCAAAAAGGCAAAGCATGATGATAGAAAAGTAGTCAGCAGAGCAAAGAAAATGGGGTTGAGGGAATCATCAAAAGTGATGAGCAGTGTCATATTCTTTAGTTCTTAATCTTGCCAGTGATATTCTTCTTGCTTTGCACATCAATTATCTAGTAATCACAAATATGGGATGAAATTATGAGGCCATGCATTAGGCCACTCGCATAAGTTACTACAAGACACAAACTGGAGTCTTTATTACCGATGAAAGTGCAGTCCTTTCTGAGCAGAAAGTTCTGCCTTTGCTAAAGTAGCTCAGCAATCTAAGATCTTTGGAAAGGTACACATGCATAGACTGAGTGCAAGTCTGGAATCTAATTCTTTGATACCGATTACCCAACAAGGAAATGAGAAAAAGTGAAACCCAGGCCCCATTTATACATGGAAGGGTGCTCAGTCAGAGACCCAGCTCATCAAGGGACCCACCCCATTGGAATTTAATGGTCAATTCAATGACTTCAACTTTTTGTGAACTTTCCGCTAGATACTTCCTTTCCATCCATTCTAGAAATGCCTTAATTTGAATACTGTGCTCCGTGCTCCCCTCTCAGCTTTATTCATGTCTATGGACTATAGTGAAACAAAAAGCAGTTTGAAGAGACTACTTCGAATGAAAGACACTCTAGGTATTTAAATAACTCAAAAACTCTTTGGATAGCTGTTACTCTCTTATGTTGTAAGAGATTAGTTTAAATCTTTAAATTTAGATAGCTATTATAGTTATTTTTGTCTTATGTAGTGAGAGATTAGTCTGAATCTTTAAACCTGAAATATCTACAAGGATCCAACAAAAAACAGTCCCAATTCTTCGCTTAGCCTTGGTCAAGAAACCAGAGCAACTAAATGAGATGCTAGGTCGATGTTAGAGTCCCGATAGACATGGTCCTAAACCAATAAAGACCAACTTATCCAATAGTATGAATGTAATGTTTACCCCATCTGGTATTTTCAAGAACCTGATACCTTATCTTGTAGGAGTACTAGCTATATTGATCTTTATGCTATCTGTTAATTGGGACTTAGGATTTGTAAGAAAGCAGAAGTTATTCAACATCAATTTGATCCAGATTTTGAGCATTACACCAAAAGCTAAAGCCTGCCAGTATTGGCTCTATTTGTTGTTCTTCAATGTAGTAATAACAATTACTATTAACGTTTCCTTCTTTACATTATAAAGAACAAAGAGTTTCAAACTGAAGAAACATATAAGAATCAAGCTTCTCCTCTACATATTTTTGTGACCATTTTCTCATTTGAAACCAGTTTTGAAGTTAGAAGAAGATGAGTAAAGTAATGAGGAAGCCGAGAAACTTGAGTTATTGCTCTTTGGATACATGCTTTTTGTTACTGGCTTTGATGATGATGTTGCTGGAACTCCACTCGACTTCTTATTTTCTTGATTATCAGGTGCTGGTGATCCCTTAAGGAGCACATCAACCTTTGCATACTCCTCTCTTTCATGTTTGATCTCCTTAAGCATTGCAGCTACATCTTTCATGTTTGGTCTTTCATCGGGGGATGAATTTACACACAACAAGGCAATGCCTAACGCTTGCATCATTTCTTCAATTTCTGATGCCGGTCGAGATAGCAGGCTTGGATCTAACACTTCAATTCCTCCCCTCTTCTGTCTCACCCAATCCACCACGTGTAGTCCATCTGGTATTGTTGGATCAATCGGTTGCTTGCCTGTCAAGACTTCTAATACCACCACACCGTAGCTATAAACATCACTCTTTTCTGTGATCTTCATCATGTAGCCATATTCTGCGTACAACAGAGAAATATTAGTGCAGGATTGCATAGATAAAAAAGGGACATATGAGAACTGTAGTTAGATAACATACCAGGAGCAATGTATCCATAAGATCCAGCAACTGTATTGGATGACCGGGCAAAGTCACCATCATCAACAAGCTTGGCAAGGCCAAAATCAGCAATGTAAGGCTCGAATTCAAGGCCAATGAGAATGTTATTAGCCTTGATATCCCTATGAACGATT